TGGCAGAAGGCGGTCTCTCAAATAGCCAGATCCACTACCATGGAGCGCTTTATAGGTGGTGAGTAAGACCTTGAAGTGCTCCCCAGGGCCGCTCGGGCGTGCTTGGCAGGAGGCCAGGAGGTGGCCCCTGGGGGGTTCTTGTCAGAGGGGAGCCCCCGGCAGGCCCCTCCCCACGGAACAGCAGCCCCGGCAGGAGAGAGCTGGGAGGGCCAGTGCAGAGCCTCCCAAGTGGCTTCTTCCCGCAGCGTAAATGCAACCAGGCACCGGGAAGCCTAGATTTGCCCCTGGAGGCCGGGAAGGAGGTGGCCTCTCGAGTGCCCCAGCAGGCCTCCCCAAGAGAGGGCGGGCAGGGCGAGGGGACTTCTCTCCAGCTGCAAGAGAAGGGAGACCCCAAGAAGAAGGCCAGTTGTGCCTGCCCAAGGAGACCAGGAGAGGGAGGGTCTCCAGGCTCCTCAAGGTTTCCACTTCCTGCCCACCCGCCCCCTCTTTTAAGCATTAGGTGGCCAGGGAACCCCGAGGGCCGGGCCAGTGATGCTGGACGAGGGCTGGGAGGGGCTTGTGTGTGCCCCATCTTCTCCCAGGCTGCAAAGGGGGCAGGTACTGTAGCCCCCCCTCCTCCCCACGGCCGGGTCCCCATCGTCCCTGCGTGCCCTGCGCCTGACCTGCGCCTGTCTCCCCCCCAGATTCACTCGGACTCCGATGAGGGCGATGGCTCCATCAAGTACACCATCTCTGGGGAGGGGGCCGGCACCATCTTCCTGATCGATGAGCTGACGGGGGACATTCATGCCACGGAGCGCCTCGATCGCGAGCGGAAAACCTTCTACACGCTGCGGGCTCAGGCGCGGGACCGCCAGACCGACCAGCTGCTGGAGCCCGAGTCGGAATTTGTCATCAAGGTGCAGGACATCAACGACAGCGAGCCCCGGTTCCTGGGGGGGCCCTACATCGGGAGCGTGGCGGAGCTGTCCCCCATCGGTGAGTCACAGCGGTGCCCGGCCGGCTCTGCAGCCTCCCCTCAAGCGCCAGGGCCACGGGAGACCCCGCCAGCCCGCCAAGCGGTCTCCTGGCACCCCCGCTGGCTGACCGTCTCTGGCTCCCAGCGCTCCGGAGAGAGAGAAAGAGAGGGGCCCTGTCCCGCCTGCACCCCAAACAGGAAGGGAGGAGCCTTGGGAGGGCCGGGGAGGGGAAGGGCAGGGGGAGTGCCTGCAGAGGTCTGGAATGCCCAGGGGGCACCAGGCTCTCTTCAGCCTCTTTGCCCCCAGCACAGCTGGCGAACCATGTTGGGTTTCTCAGGCACCCCGTGGGTCCCTGCTTGAGGGGGACCCATTTCTTTAGAACTGGGAGTGCAAAGGAGGGTTTAAGCCTGAACCCCCCAAGGGCCGGAAACGAAATGCGGCTCCGGGAAACGGCACAACGGGCCAGTTTTTCTCTCTAGCCCCGCAGCCCCCACCCAGAGTTGCGTCTTTTGGGGGTGGCCGAGTCCTTTGCAAGGAGCAGCGTATGGGTGCAAAGGAAGGCGGGGGAGGGGGCTTGCAAGGGGGAGCAAGAGAAGGGGCCCTGCTCCCTCCCCCTCCTAGGTCCCCAGCGGGTGCCCCCTCCCTTGCAAGTTAGGGGTGGGCATACGTATTGCACAGTTCTGGACAATGACACCCCCACCCCCCCACTGCTGGTGTGCCAGGAGTGGTGTGAGCCTGGTTCAGGGCTTCCCTTGCGCACCTGCGCAGCCCCTGCCTGGACCCAGAGAGAGGGAGCCCGGTTGAGCCCTGCCAGGCTCTGGGCACAGGCGCCAGGAAGGGCAGCCGTTGAGAAGCAGCCCAGGCGCTTGGCAGGGGGGGCTCCCGTCTGACAGTCCCTGAATGCTGACAGTTAGTCAATCCCTCCATCTCGCATGCCAGGACTGTGCCCGGCTGAAGCCTTCGATCTGCTCTCTGTCTCCCTGGGACTGTTTACCCATCGGCTCCTGTGGGCTTCTGTAAAGACACGTTCCGTATCTTGTCATTGTGGCTGCTGTTCTGCTGCCTCCTTGGGAAGGGACCGCTGGGCATCCCTGGGGCTGAGCCCCCTGCCCCAGATCCTTTCAGCACAGCTCCTCAGCCCCAGAGTTCCCCTGGCCCCTTCTGGGCGGGGCAGGCAGGCGGGCAGCGTGAGGCAGCCTCTGGGACTCTGAGGGATGGGGGGGGGCTTTCAGGTGGTCTCGGGGGAGACGTTGTTCTTTGAAAGGGGCCCCCGGGGGTCCCAGGAAGCGGCGGCTGTGCCAGCTGGGAGACGGTGGGCAGGGCAGGAGGGAGCGTGCTTTGCCAACGAAGGGGCTCCTGCGAAGGGAGCGGCTGCTGTGCCCGGCGGCCTCGGAGGGACTTGGGAAGCGCCAAGGTGAGCTTGCAGCGCTGGTGGGCGGGTGGGCGGCTCTGGCCTTCCTGCCGCCTCCGTGCCTTTCTTTGTCTTGCTGACGGCAGCAGCAGCAACGTGAGCCCAGGCGCCTCTCCTCCTGACGCCTCTCCCTTCAGCACCCGCAGCCCCTTTCAAGCAAGTCACGGCCACGGGGGAGGCGGCCACGCCCGCGGGTGGAGGGGCTCAGCAGCAGCAGCGCCCCTCACCCACCAGGCAGCTAGATCCCCCCCCCGCCCGAGCATCTTCCTCGGCTTCCCATGTGGGCATCAGGGCGGGGAGGAGGTTCAGCGGTCTGGTGAGGGCTGCTGCCCCTCCCCTTGGAGAAGCCAGACCAGGGTTTGCAGGGAGCAGAATCCGGGGTGCAGTGAAGGAGCCCCGAATGGAGCAGAAGGGGGGGGGGCTTCTGCCTCACGCAGTTGAACCCCCACTCCCGACAGAAATTCAGTCAACCGTCCAGCCCCCCTCCGATGAGGGAGCTCTTGCCGGCAGCTTCTCAGGCGTGGGAGGGGGGGGGACAGGGACGCCGACCAGGGGCCAAATAACAGAGCAGGCGGCAGAGATGGGACCCACCTTTCACGCCCCTGTTGCAGGTTCGCCTCATGTTACGCACAGCTTTGAGCAGTACAGGAGTTGTGTCTCCCCGGACTCTTCCCATTGGCCAGCTGACCCTGCCCGGCTCCTTGAGCCCCTCCCCAGGAGCGACTCTCCCCCGCCCTGCAGGCAGCTCTCCTGGGAACCCGCTCCAGCTTCTCTGCGCCCCCTGAAAGTGGGGTGGCCCATTGGTACCCCTGGATCCTTCTCAGTGCCACGAAGCCCGGGCCCAATCCTGCAAAGGCCGGGTGGTTTCTCGTACCCAGCGGCCTCCCCAGGGGACCCTGCCCTCTTTTACGAGGATTTGGGGTCTCTGCTCTGGGTGGGCAGCTTGTTCCTTTTTAATCCCGTCCTCCTTTCCTTCCTAAGTGGGCGGGGGGTCTTCCCCCCCCCCCGTCAGCCTCCTCTGCAGCCCCTTCTCCAGGCGAAAGAGGCCCCTTCCCACTCCCCAGCATCCCTGCCCCATTGGTCGGAAGGGCCAGGGGTTCAGATCAAAGACCAACAGCTTAAGGGGGGCGGCTGATGGGCCTCCATCCCTTCGCCCCCATTACAAGGGGAGCTTTCGCCAGAGGAGCCGGTGGGCTTGCACCGGGGGGTGGGGGGTGGTGGTGGTGCAGCCAGGCCCTTCACCGCCTTCGGCTTCCTGCAGGGACTTCGGTGCTGACTGTCCTGGCCTCTGATGCGGATGATCCCAGCTATGGGAGCAGCGCCCGGGTGGCCTACAGCGTCCTGGAGGGGGAGCAGCACTTCACTGTGGACAGCAAGACCGGTAAGGGCCAGCGGGGCAGCCCCGAGGGAAGGCAGGCAGGCAGGCAGGGAGGGAGGGCTTCCCTAGCCGGACCCAGGCCGCGTGTGGCTGTGCGCACGGGTGGTTCCGATCCCTGGCCAGCTCTGCAGCCCCCTCAGGAGAGCAGCCAGGCCGGTTCTGGTTCTGAGAATCCTCTGGAGCGGTTCCCCCCCCCCCACAGAACCTCTTCCATGGGGAGGGGGCTACGTGAAGCGGGGCAGCCTCCCCCCTCCTGAGTTTTTCAGAGATGGCTGGTTAGCATCAGGCCTTTGATTAAAGGTAACACTTTAAATTAAGGATTGCTTTATAAATGCTCTATTAATATTTAATGAACGAACAGTGGAAGCCGCTCCATCCTTTAATAACTCCTAATAAAGCTGCTGTGAAATCTGTCTGGGATGAGTCGGAGCGGCTGAGGTCACCGTCAGCAGCCGGGATTGAAGGCCGGGGGGGGGGGCTGCCCAGGCCGCTGGGGGGAGGGAAGGTCTCCCGCAACCTCTGCCAGCCAGTCCTGAGAAGGAGGGCTCTGCCACCCCTGAAGGGGCAGAGGCTCTGGGCAGGTTGTGGCCTTCCACACCCGGGCAGTAGGAAGCCTGTGGGTGCAGATGGAGGGGCCCCTGGGGTCAGGCATGGCCAGGCTGGGAGTTTCTGCTGGCTGCTCGGTGGATGGGAGGCCAAGGGGAGAGTGCGGAGGCTGCTCGCTTGTTGAAGACCTCCCTCCCCCCCCCTCGCTTTTCCAAGGTGAGGGGGAGGAGCTGCTTCTCCTCCCGGCAGCCCCCCCCCCCCCGGTGTCCGTGTCCTTTCGTTTGCCCAGCAGCCAAGCGGTGGGCTGTGCCTGAGCGAGCAGCCTCCCCCCCCCCCCCCCCCCCCCCCCGC